CACACCCAACAGCAGTGGACGAGAGTCCCTTTTACTCCATGTCATTGCACTTGATATTTTCAATCCTTTAATTTTTTTACTTGTATACAAAGTATTTGTTTATCTAAAGATATGACAAATTAACAAAAAATACTTTTAGACATGGTATTTGCAAAGTTGGCCAGGTACAAAGCCAAAATTAGAAACTTTCATATGTGTATAATGAAAATGTAATGAAAAGTTAGTCTCATTAAAAATTAGAAAACATAATGAAACACATCATTTCATTCATAACTGTAGCAACAATAATAAAACATAAAATATATTGGAATATACCGCAGAAAGAATGTGCAAGACGCACAATTAAGCCAACAGTAAAACTTTATTGAAAAACATTTTAAAAATATCCCAATAAAATGGCAAGATTCACCATTTTCTTTATGATGTGATTAATAAATATTAGCTAAATAAATATTTATTCAGTACACAAATGTGCGTTTCTCAGGAGAAGGCTGGCCTTGACAGCCTCCTATTACAGGGTCTGATTTCCCTTCTTATTGATGCTTACCACCCTACCACATTCTTAAATATGCCTTGATCACTTACCAAAAAAAGAAAAAAACAACAAATGGGAGAAGTTGCTTAATCCTCATTGGTAATCAAGGTGAAAAAAAACCTGTCTCAATTTATTTAAAAAGCTATTATTTTTTTCATTGGTTTTTGGCCATCTTATTTGAATCAGAAAGTTAATTATAACTAGTATTTAGAGGCCAAGAGGAAGATGAAGATAACTTGCCCTGTCAACCCTACTTTTTTTTAATTAAAGTCCATACTTTATCTAGATTTCATTAGTTCTTTTCTTTTCTGGAATCTCATTTAGAATGCCACATTACATTTAATTGTCATGTCTCCTTAGGCTTCTCTTGGCTGTGACAGTTTCTTAGTAGTATACTTTTTATGTTATTGTCAATGGTATCATTTTTTAAATGTCATTTTCCAATTTTTTGTTGCTAGTATAAAAAGAGATGATTAATTTTTAATATTAATCTGTTCAGTGATTTTGCTAAGTTTATTTTTTCATTCTAATGGTTTATCTATTGACTCTTGTATTTTGTATATACACAATTATATCATCTGCAGATAATGAAAAAAAGTCAGAAAGAGATTTGAACAGGCTCCTCACAAATATCTAAATAGCCAATAAACATATGAAAATGTGCTGAACTTTATTAATAATCAGGGAATAAAAATTAAAACTATAATGAGACATCACTATACACCACTAGAATGGCTAAAATTAAAAAGACTGGCAATATCAAATGTTGACAAGAATGTGATGCAACTATAACTCATGTAATGATAATGAGAATGTAAAATGGTACAAACATTTGTGAAATTTGTTTGATATTTTCTATTAAATATGAATATATGCATCTCTACATTGACTGACCTCTGTGACTCCTTTGTGCTGTGAGTCATGGATAATTCCAGGCTAATCCAAGGATCCTTTTCATAAAGAAGAAACCGTGAAGAATTACTCAACGACTGACGTAATGAACATTTGAAAGTGGGACAGTAGAGAGATAATTTTGCTTTTTCCAAAACTCATTGTATGGAACCCATGAGATGACCAAGGTTCTGCTCAGAGCTGGCATGCAAATGTCAAAAGGCAGAGAGAATGAAACCCACATAAGAGGTAGAATAACTAGAAAGGCTGGGGCTTATTGGTTCTTTTTTTTTTTTTTTTGGTAGATTAGTAGATTAATCTGTAATGAAAGAACACGTTCACTGGTGGAAAACTGAAAAACCACATACAGGAAAAAAAAAATCTTTTAGTTTCACAAGTGAAATATAACCACTAATAAAATGTGGGTATATTTTTTTTAATTAATTTTTTTCTCTATATGCATTTACATAGTTGCGTTGTGTGTATAATTGTATGTCTTGTGTTCAGTATAACTGGAAACTTTTATTTTCCTGGTGACACAAGTAACAATGTTATTATAGAAAAATTTTAAATGTGAGTAAAATAAAAGAAAGGTTAAACAGTTATTAAATTCTTTTAAACAAATAAAGTGCACTAAATTATGAAAATGCATAATAATCCTATATTCCAGATATCTTCTTATCATGGTAAAAACAAACAAACAAACAAACAAAAAACCCATGTACAAATAGTTCTAAAGAGACATAGTGAAAAGGGAAAGATTTTTCCTCCCTGATGGTTCCTCACCCCTGTCAGCATTCTCCTAGGGTAACTACTATTAATAGATATGTAAACATACCCAAAGAAAAAAATTATATGCATGTATCAGCAGGAGACTCAATCTTAATACTATTCTATTGTTTGATTTAATAGAAGTTTATTTTCTCTGAACTTCTAGAAGTGGTCGGGAGCAGTTTTTCTAACTTCCTTAGCTCCCTCTTCTGTTGCTTTTGTGAATTGTTCAAAAACATGGCCACTTGCTTTCTGAGTTATCCACCCCTACGCTTGACTGATCTGTTTCTTTTTCTTTGTCGTTTCTATCCTGCCCAAATTTGATTCCATTTATAGCAATGTCTTCTCAGTGTAAGATCCTTCCCCAAGAGGGAGCTGTGTCTTGTTGGTTTGAAAAGAACTATTGTCTTAGACTATGCCAATGCCTTTCAGAATTTACCGAGGCCCGTCACATTCACCTGCTATTGCATTGAACAAAACTCCTCAGAAATACCTCAGACATCACCAATAGATAATCTCTCCTGAGAAGAGCTGATTCTATACACCCAACTAAGAAGTAGGAATATGTATGAAGGGCTACTTGGAAGATATGCTGAGCACATTGTAAAGATTAGAAGACAGGAAATCTATTGATAATGGGAAACCTGGAGCTCAGGATTATAAATCCACATTTACTCAGATACTTTCAGCCTCTGCTGCAATTTGATACAAGAGTATGAATGTCCTCTGTACATTAAACATATTGAAATCATTATAACCAACAGAACTGATGCAACTATCTGTAAAATAATGACAAATTTCTTCAAGCATTTGATTCTGGTGTTGTCAGGAAGTGAAAGATTTCACATAAATGGATTCGTCCTTCTCCACCACTAGTTCCCTGGTCTATAACATTGGTAAATTCCTTCAACTGTCCTTTCTGCATCCATTCTCCTCTCCCTCCATTACTTATTGCTTACTGTAGAGAGAGTATTACCACACCCCTCCATAACCAAATCAATTACTCCATCTCACCTAAAACCCTTCTATGACTTCTACTTCTCTTAAGGTAAAGAAAAACTTCTTAACATGGCTTCACAGTCTCTGTGATATCTGGCTTCTACCTGCCTTCTGGCCTCATCTCAGATCATTCTCTGATCACTCCCTGACTTGAAGATCAGGCACAATGGCTTTCTGTCCATTCCTTTGCCCTTGTCATTCATTCTTTTGCCACAGAGCTTTGGCACATGCAGTCCCATCCACTTTCATTCTGATTTTGGCTCCAATGTCACTTCCTCAGGGCAGTCTCCTCTGACCTCTCCTACTACATCATGTTCCCATATCATAGAAACCCACAGTACCACAAACCTCTCCTCTGCAACACTTGTCACCATTTTCATGTATTTCTTTGATTAATGTTCTTCTCCCCTACTTAACTGCATGATCCATGAGAGTGAGGCTTACAAACTGCAGCAGCTCATGCTACAGTTTCTTGTGTACAGTGGGGGTTCGGTAAATTCCGGTTGAAATATAATGCAAAATTTTATGAATAATGAAAATTATTATAGCTATTTTTGTATTGAAATCTTTAAAAATATATCATGTCCCCGTCTATATAAGCACAATATAAAAATCATAATTAGATTTTTTTACTGATACTTTTCTTATGAAAATCAGTTACTGCATGCTAACAAAAAATGGCCTCAGAAATATTGAGATAGGGCCATTTACAGATTGCCAACAAACATGTAAAAAGATGCTCAACATCACTAACCATCAGGCAAATGCAAATTAAAACCGTAATAAGATATCACTTCACACTTGTCGTAATGGCTATCATCAATGCATCAGCAAACAACAAATGCTGGCGAGGATGTGGAGAAAAAGGAACCCTTGTGCACTGTAGGTGAGACTGTAAACTGATACAGCCACTGTGGAAAACAGTATGGAGTTTCCTTGAAAAATTAAAAATAGAACTACCATATGACCCAGCAATCCCACTTTTGGTATTTATCCAAAGAAATCCAAAACATTAATTTGAAAACATATATGCACCTCATGTTCATTGAAGCATTATTTACAATAGCCAATATATAAAAGCACTTTAGGTGTCCATCGATGGACAAATGGATAAAGAAGATGTGATGGTACATATATACAATGGAATATTACTCAGCCATTAAAACAAAGAAATCTTGTCATTTGTGACAACATGGATGGACCTAGATAGAGGGTATTATACTAAGTGAAATCAATCAGAGAGAGAAAGATAAATACCATATGATTTTATCTATATGTGGAATCTAAAAAACAAAACAAATGAACAAACAAACAGAAACAAACTCATAGATATAGAGAACAAATTGATTGTTCCAGAGGGGAGGGGGTTTGGGGGAATGGGCGAAAAAGGTGAAAGGGATTAAGAAGTTCTAATTTCCAGTTATAAAAATAGTCACAGGAATGTGAAGTACAGCATAGGGAATGTAGTCAATAATGATGTAATAGCTATGTACGGTGCCAGATGGGTACTAGATTTTTTGGGGTGATCACTTTGTAAGGTATGTAAATGTCTAACAACTATGTTGTACACCTAAAACTAATATGATATTCATTCAACTGTAATTGAAAAATAAATCTGAAAAAAATATAAATGACAAAAGAAAACTGAAAAGGAGAACTAAAAGTGGGAAATTCCTCTGAAATAGAAACGGTAGATGACCATATAAATAGCCCAGGCTCATGGAGAAAAGACATTCACATTGCCAACGCTTGAAGCCTTCCCTTCAGTGCCTAGGTGATAGTAGGCAACACTGTTCCTGTTTTCACCATGACCAACAGGTGCATCCTCCAATTTGCTCTCCTGTTGTGTTTCTCCACCACAGCTCTTTCCATGAGCTACAACTGGCTTCGATTCCAACAAAGAAGCAGCAATTTAGCCTGCCTGAAGCTCCTGTGGCAGTTAAATGGAACTCCTCAATATTGCCACAAGGACAGGATGGACTTCAAGCTCCCTGCGGAGATTAAACAACCACAGCAGTTCCAGAAGGAGGATACCGTATTGATCATCCATGAGATGCTCCGGCAGATCTTTGATATTTTCCAAAGAAATTTCTCTAGCACTGGCTGGAATGAAACCATCATTATGAATCTCTCTGAGACACTCGGTGGGCAGATGGACCGTCTGGAGACAGCTATGGAGGAAATGGAGAAGGAAAACTTCACCTGGGAAAGCATGACAGTGCTGCATCTAGAGAATTATTACTTTAGGATCATGAGGTACCTGGAGACCAGGTTGTACAGCAGATGTGCCTGGACAGTAGTCAAAGCGGAAATTCTCAGGAACTTTTCCTTCCTTAATGGACTTACAGAATACCTCCAAAACTGAAGATCTCTCAGCCTGTACTTCTGAGAAAGAACTGACAATGACTTCAACTATTCTTCAGGTATTCTTCTGAGAAAGAACTGAGAAAGTGCTGACGATGACTTCAGGTATTCTTCAACCAGCAGAAGCTCTTCAAGTGACTGACAGCTAATGCAATGCCTTTGAAAGGACAGTTAAAGACTTTAAATGTTTAAATTAAATTAAGCATTAAGTTATTTTTTAAATTTATTTATATTTTTACCTTGGAAAATATTTTTTTTTGAAATAAAAGTCAACATGGCAGTTTTGATTTCAACTTGATTTATACAACCACCCATGTTAAAAATTATACAGCACCTGTTAGATGTTCTTTCTAAAATATGCCTGCAAAGTTGTACTAGCCCCTGCCTCCAGAGAATTTAAAATTCAAGAAAGCCACATGGAATATACAAGGTAAGAGACAATAAGGGGACCTGTATCTTCTTTGAGAATAAACGTGGCCTGAGCCTCTATAGAATTAAAAAAGGAAGAGGCCAGCAAGTGGCTCTGGAACTAGAATTGGGTTGCCTACTGCTTCTGCTCTGTACTCCCAGGCTCTCTGGCCCTATGGTTAGAATTTGACTGGCTGTCAGGGTAACCAGAGGAATATTCAAGCTCTTGTGTTTGCCCAAAACTCATCTCTGTTACCTGTGGGTTGCTCTGCTCTTCACCTCAACCCCACAGGATTCAAATATATTTATATGCCCCCACAAGCCTAAGGGTAAGAAGTCCCAGACTTCTGAAACACTGTTAAGTAGTAGCCCCTTTATTTTACTCTTCGTAGAACAGCCAAAATGTATGAGTATCTTAGGGGAGCTATGCTCTCTGTCTGCTTCCAGGGCACAGACACCTGAGGGAAAAAGAAATCTGCTTTTTAACCTGCCATTTGGCTAGATTTTCACTCCAAGTCTTTTCCTAATCTCCCCTGCCCTATTCATACAGAATTCCAGGAAAATCCTACTTGATTTTTCTGCTGCTCTGCATCTTTTGAAGCCACACACTCCCTAGAACCAAATCCTAGGTAGGGGCAGCAGATTAAGTCATTTTGGACCAAGTGAAAAACCAGGAAGCATAGGAGAAAAGGAAATGCGGGTGGGCTTCCATTGGAAAAATTAAGTTTTCCTAGGAGATCTTTGGGCCTCTGGCCAGCATGGCTGGATTTCTGAACCCCTTGTACTCTTGTATTATTATGAATGTTCTTGTAATTAGCAGCTGCCTTTCTGTGCTGAGCTCTTATGTGTGTAATCGGATTTACTCCTTTTCACAAGCATCTTTCAGGTAGGCACAATTACATTATTGCTATTTTACAAGTCAGGAAACAAGTCTCAAAAGAGGTTTTGTAACTGCTCCAAGGTCACATAGCTAGTGAGTGGCGGTTTAAAAAATTCAAAGGAGAGAATTGTATAAGACCTTATTTCTATCTAGGCATTTTCTCCTAGAGTAGTACAAAAGTCTGAGTTCCCTTTAAGACATTCAGCCTTGAGGAGATATCTGTCAGTCAAGGGTTTCAGAGAGGATGCTAAGTATTGTGTAAACAGTGAACTGAGGGCTCCCCCTTCTGACTCAAGGTGGGTAACACACTGGTTATGGAATCAAGAAGTGTCATCATGGTGGATCAGTCAAGGTCCATGTAAAACAATAAACCTCTCTCCTTCCAGCTCCCCAGACTCTATGACCTTACACCCCAGAGCTGCCAAAAGCACTTCCACAGCCATGATTCCTTTTGCCTGGGAGTCAAAGACAAGATTAGCACATAGAAATGCAGAGTAATATAAGCAGTGGCTGGAAAAGCCAAGAGGATGTTAAAGAAGTTTCTCTCGGCAATGGGCCCCTACTGCCCACTATCTTCTCTGGACCAACACCTAAACTAGCCCAGAAACTGAGAGGCTGAGGGAACCCTGGAAAGGCCCTCTCTGCATGTGTGCTGGGGCCTAGATGGGCAAATGAGAGGCTTTTTCTGTAAAATTATACATAACTGTGCCACCGCTGAGCATGTTGGCCCATTTAGAACACCAACAGGAGTGATGTCAGAAACATGGTGGAGTGAGAGATGTCCCCAGATCTCTTCCCTTGAAACGAAAATGAGCTGAACATCTAAAACTCAACAAAAAACACTCAAACAGCACATTAGCATATCTGAGCATGGGATCTGCTCATGGGAGCTACCACAGGTCAAAACCCCAGGTGTAGGGCAGTGGACTGAGGGAAACAAAGAAGCTGCCTCTCGCAGCTGCCAGAGCTCCTTGTAGAAGGAGGGGGAGGGGAGAAGGTGCAACAAAGGAAGGAACAGGTCTGCCTGGGAGAGCTGTGAGCTCCGCATGGCCAGCAGAATTGCCATTATCAGGGCAGAAAGCAGAGAAATGGGGAAGGCAGAGAAGTGAGGACATCAGAGAAACAACAGTTGATTTTTACCAGCCATGGTTGCAAAATGCAAGGCTGAGCCACAGCCCCCATCCCCCAACCCAGAGGGCCCCTCCCCCTATATCCTCCAAGACTGATCACAATAGAGGACCAAGGGAATCTGAGCGAATGCTACCAAAACTGTCACTAACACTGACAGAGACTGAGACTGAGGGTAACGAGGGTGATTAAACATCTATAAGAGAAAAAGGCATTGTTAGGGCTTTATATAAAGTAGGGATCCAAGAGGCTTAGACGCTACCGACTGGAAACCAAATGAAAAGCACCTTCTCTGCTTTTAAATTATATAAAGAGAGACCTTTATTTAATAAATCTTCTTTCTGGAAAAAAAGCAGAATACATTTCCATTAATGCCCAGGCAGAGAAATAGTCCATTAAACACCATAAACAACCAAGGTGACAAGACATCTCTGAAAGAAAGAGAAAAATATCCAGAAAATATGCTTATGGACATAGAAATATGCAACTTAAATGACAGAGAATTCAGGATGGTACTTCTGAAAAAAACTCAATGAGATCCAAAACAATTCATATCAACAATTTCAAGAATGGGAAAAAAAAATTAGATAAGCACAATGAGTTCTTAGCAAGGAGACTGAAACCCTCAAAAAGAACCGAATAGAACTTCTGGACATAAAAAAAAAACACATTGCGAGAGTTGAAAAATGAAATAAAAAGCTTGGGAAATGGAGTAGACCAAATGAAGGATATTGAAGACAGAAATCTAGAAATAAATCAGAAGGAAACAGGGAGAAACCAAAGAATAAAAAATAATGAAAGAAATTTACAAGGACTAGCTGATACCATCAGGAGAGAAAACATAAGAATAATGGGAATTCTTGAAGGGGAGAAAAAGGAGCAAGAACTAGAAAGCATTTTCAGATGAATAGTTGACGAGAATTTCCCAAATCTAAGGAATGAGCTGGAGCATGGAATTCAAGAAGTCAATACAACACCCAATTATCTCAACCCAAAAAGGCCTTCACCAAGACACACTGTATTAAAATTATCAAAAATCAATGACAAAGACAAAATTCTCAGGGCAGTCAGGGAAAAGAAGACGGTAACCTATAAAGGAAACCCCATTAGATTATCGTCGGACTTCTTAGCACAAATCTTACAAGCCAGAAAAGAGTGGAATCAATTATTCAAACTATTAAGTGAAAGGAACTATCAGACAAGAATGTATCCAGCTAAGCAATCCTTTAGATATGAAGGAAAAATAAAGACCTTTCCAGACATACAAAAATTAAGGGAATTCTCCATGACGAGGCCTGCACTACAGGAAATATCGAAAGATGTCAGCTCATCTAAAACAAAATTACAAAGAAAAAAACAAAAAACAAACCATAATTAAAAATAAGGTGACTAGCAGGCAGAAAGAAGCAGAGGAGTGCAACTCTTACTAAGAACAGGGCATTATAGGCTTACATAATAATAAGAGAATTGCTATAGCAAGATAGTAATGAACGTTCAGCATAGATAGGGACAAATTGAGACAACAATGACTAAAAAGGGGAGGATTCAAAGGTCCAAATTCACAAAGGAGAATGGAGATAAGGAATACACAGAAAAAAATGGACAACTGTATATATATAACTATCTTTTACATATTTATAATGGCAACCACATGCCAAAGATTCAGAACTGAAGTATATAACATAAAACAAGAAAGACGAGTGACAAAACCCACAAAAGCCAACCAAAAAAACGAAAACAGAAACACAAGAAGGAAGCAATGGAAACTCCAAGCTACCAGAAAGCAAAAGATAAAATGGCTATAAGAAGATCTTACATTTCAATAATCACCCTAAATGTAAATGGATTGAACTCACCAATAAAAAGGCATAGAGTTGCATGATGGATCAAAAAACAAACCCCAACCCTATGCTGCCTCCAAGAGACACATCTCAGTTCCAAACACAAATACAGACTCAAAGTGAAAGGTTGGAAAATGGTATTTCAAGCAAATAGCATTGAGAAAAGCAGGAGTAGGTGTACTAATATCAGTACTAATATGACTTCAAAATTAAAAAGATAAAGAAAAATCCTGAGGCACACTTCATAATGCTAAAGATAATCATGCACCAAGAAGACATAACACTCATTAATATATATGCTCCCAAACAGGGAGCCCTAAAACATGTAAAGCAATTACTAATAGAATTAAAGGGAGAAACAGACCAAAGCACTATCATAGTAGGGGACCTAAATATCTCACTGTCCGATATGGACAGATCATCTAAACAGAAAATCAATAAGAAAATAATATCCTTAAATGACACATTAGACCAACTGGAAATAATTGACATTTACAGAGCCTTCCATCCCCAAACGGCTATTTATACATTCTTCTCTAGTGCACATGGAA